ACTAATACATAAAATATGAAGTTTGGCATATGAACATCTCTATGTTGGCATTCGCTTTTGCCCAACTGCCTCTAGATTTACTTAAAATAATCTTCTAACAAGTCTATGTTGGCAGTTACAATAACTCGCATTAAACCTTCTTTGATACTCCTCTCTTAATTCAAGTTGAATAATATGGTATTAACTGGTTGGTGAGCTATGAACTGTCCCCCTGAGTGGAACAGATGGTCTAATATTTAGAAGTGATTGAATTTGGTCAGAAATCAAACCAAAATAATAGCACTAATGAAAAGATTGGAAGCGCAAACAAGTCTCCAATAATCACATGGCCAAATTTTAATTTCATTTGGCTGCAAATGAACTTCCTAAGATACAAATAGAAAGAAGCCAAGTTGGTCTCGGAATAATTGTCAGCTATAAAAGATTATACACTCAGCAGCGAAATGATTAGTAGCATTATTGGAAATGTGAGATGTGTGGTGTAGATAATTGTTTAGGTCAATTAAAGAAGTGGGGCAGATGAACGCTATGTTTTCATTTTTCTCCTTTTTATTGTGAGGGAGTTTCTGTGTTAGAAAGTTCAGTCCTGCAGTTCCTTCTGAATTCTAGCTAGACGAGGGGAAAGAGCATGGAGAAGATAGATGATAGCAATGGTGAAACCAAGAAATGGTTGGCGGTGACACTCGCCCCTCCTAAATTTTTGCAAGAGTTTTTAATATCATATAGTATACTGAAATGTTGCCCTCCTAAACTTAAATATTTATTAATAATTAATTTTAATTCTAATCTTAATATAATATAGTTTCTATCATGTAAACTTAATTAGTTGTCACCTCTTGATTTCTGATTTCGCCGTCACTCTTCTTTAATTTATTGGTCACTGGATAGTAGTGTGGTTGTGTTTATAGATTTAGTGTTCCCTGCTCAGGGTTGTTATTCATATTGTTTCTATTTTTCTTTTGAAAGGCTACCGTTTAGGAGAAACATTTCTTGTATCAATTTATTTGCTACCCTTGTTATCAAGAGTTTATCCTCTCTGTGTGATATCATGCAGACTTACTCATAGATTAAGTTAGAGCAATGAGCATTGCGGCATTGTTCCATTCATCTCCTTGATTGGTTTGTTTTAATATTTATTACTGATTGCTTTAATTATTGACTATTAATGGAAGACTGTTAATGCCACTGCTCGTTTAATTTGTCTCCTTTTTCCTTGCTTGGTTACAGGTTTACCAGTTTGTTGTTTGTCACAAATTTTCCATAAATTATGCTGAATCTTTATTCTTTTAAGTGTTGGACCAACTGGTTTTGAACGCTCACTTTATTGTTATTGGCTTACAGTTCCACTCTCTCTGTCAACTAAGTTTACAACAACAGCAACAACAAAGCCTTAATCCCGCTGCATCTATATGAATCCTTTTTCTCCATTGCGTTCTGTTTAGTGTCATATTTTCATTTAGTTCTAGTAAATTAAGATCATTTTTCATACAAGAATCCCAAGTTTTCCTAGGTCTAACTCTGCCTTTCTTAACACAAGTCAAATCTGAAACATCTACTCTCCTAATCAGATCATCAGATGGTCGACGTTTAATGTGACCAAACTATCTAAGACGACTTTCTCTAATTTTGTCTGTCACAGGAGCTACACCAACCCTATCACGGATATATTCATTTTGCATTTTGTCTCTAAGTGTAAAGCCACATATCCACCTAATCATTCTCATCTCGGCAACACTTTACTTATTATTATGCTTCTCTTTTAAAGACCAACATTCAACGCCATAAAGCATTGCAGGTTTCACCACTGTCTTATAAAATTTTCCTTTCAATTTAAGCGGTATTTTTCTATCACACAAAAGGCCCGAAGCATTCCTTCATATCAACCAACCAACTTGAATTCTACTATTAACATCTCATCTATATCACCATCGCTTTGAACAATGGACCCAAGTTATCTAAATCGTTCACACTTGTTAATAATTTGATCACCCAAAGTCACACTTCTGTCACTAGAGCTACTACTACTAAAATTACATTCCATGTATTCAGTTTTAGTTTTACTTAAATGGAAGGCCTTTATCCTCCAACGTAAACCTCCATAATTCAACTTTTTCCTAGGCTTTTTCTCTCGTTTTATCCTCGAGAAGGATATCATCAGCAAAAAGCATATACCAAGGTGCATCCTTCTGTAGATGTCCAGTAAGACCATTCATAACTAAAGCAAAAAGATTTGGGCTTAAAGCCGATCCCTGATGTAATCCAACAGAAATAGGAAAATATTTGGTCAATCCTCCTTCAATTTGAACACAAATGACAACTCTAATATACATATCTTTAATGACTTCAATATATGTTATATCAACACCTTTCTTCTCAAGAACTCTCCAAAGAATATCTCTTGGAACCTTATCGTAAGCTTTTTCTAAATCAATAAAAATCAAATGTAGATTCTTCTTATTATCTCTGAACTTCTCCATCAAACCTCTCAATAAATGTATAGCTTCCATAGTAGACCTGCCCGACATAAATTCAGTTTGATTATGAGAAATCTTTGTCGTGCGTCTTAACTTATGTTTAATTATCCTCTCCCATAACTTTAAAGTATGACACATCAACTTAATTCCTCTGTAATTTGCACACTTTTGTGCATCTCTTTTATTCTTAAAAATGGGGACCAAAATACTCTTCCTCCACTCCTCAGTCATCTTTTTAGTTTTTTAAATAATATTAAAGAGTTTAGTAAGCCAAGAAACTCTCAAATCTCCTAAATATTTCCACACATCAATTGGGATATCATCAGGTCTTACAAACTTTCCACCCTTGGTTTTCTTTAAAGCCTCATCAACTTCTTTTTTATTAAATACGACGGTAAAATGAAACATTTTATTATTATTCATGATATTAAGATCACTAAGATCGATCGTATTTTCAGAAACTTCATTAAAAAGTTTATCAAAATAACTCACACACCTATGTTGAATATCTTTTTCTAAGAAAAGTACATTTTGAATTTCATGTTTAATACACTTTACTTGAGTTAAATCTTTACTTTTCTTTTCTCTTTGTTTGACTAGTTTATACATATATTTTTCACCCTCCTTAGTATCCAATATATTATAAAGATCATTAAAAGCAAAATTTTAGCATCAAAGATTGTTCTTTTAGACTCCCGACGGACCGTTTGATATTTTTTTCAATTCTCTAAGCTTTTAAATTTAAACCAATTTTTATAACATAACTTCTTATATTTTATATTTTCTTGCACATTATTATTCCACCACCAACTATTTTTATTAATAAAGTTTTTTTCTTTAGATTCTCTAAGCACATATTTTGCTACTTGTCTAATAGTATTTGTTACTTCATCCCACATAACATTTGCTTCATCATGAAGCTTCATCATGAACATCCCCATGAACATCCCAAATTTTGAAATCTTGAATTTTACTCATAAAAATAATTTTATTTGTGTTTTTTAGGTTCTCTCATCTAATTATACGATGATGAGTCCTAGTATTCTTTAACTCTTCATCTTAAAATCTCGAACTAATAAATGATGTTGGGTACTTCAATTCTCACTTGGAATGACCTATCAAAGATTGTTCTTTTAGACTCCCGACGGACCGTTTGATATTTTTTTCAATTCTCTAAGCTTTTAAATTTAAACCAATTTTTATAACATAACTTCTTATATTTTATATTTTCTTGCACATTATTATTCCACCACCAACTATTTTTATTAATAAAGTTTTTTTCTTTAGATTCTCTAAGCACATATTTTGCTACTTGTTTAATAGTATTTGTTACTTCATCCCACATAACATTTGCTTCATCATGAACATCCCAAATTTTGAAATCTTGAATTTTACTCATAAAAATAATTTTATTTGTGTTTTTTAGGTTCTCTCATCTAATTATACGATGATGAGTCCTAGTATTCTTTAACTCTTCATCTTAAAATCTCGAACTAATAAATGATGTTGGGTACTTCAATTCTCACTTGGAATGACCTCACAATCTTTACAATTTCGACGATCTCTTCTTCTCATAAGAAAATAATCAATTTGTGTTTTATAAGTAATGCTTATCTCTTTTCTTAAATGAAGTATTAGTAATAACAAAATCATTCGCTAAAGCAAAATCTAAAATAGCTCTACCTTCTTCATTAGATGCTCCAAAACCGTAGCCACCATAAATATTTTTGAAGCCTTCTACCACTCTACCGAAATGTGCATTTAAATCTCGTCCATTAAAAATTCTTTCTTCAAGAGGTATCATTTATATTAAGTCTTCTAAATCATTCCAAAATTTATCTTTAGACCCTGTATCTAAGCTACTTGAGGATGCATAAACACTTATAATATTAAAAGTCTTAGTATCAATGATAATCTTAAGGGCTATAATTCTATCTCCAACTCTATTAATTTTTGCAACATTATCTTTCAAACTCTTATCTATAGTTACACAACATTTCTAGTATTACTCTTACCAGAAAACCAAAGTTTAGAACCTAAGTTATCAATCTCCTTAGCCTTTTCTCCAACCCATTTGGTTTCTTGAATACATAAGTTATTAATTTTTCTATGAATCTTAATATCAACCCATTAATTTATTATTGAGAGTACCTATATTCCAAGATCCTATGCTAATATTAGTTTTATTAGTTTCATTAACTAATTTTTTTACCCGCATTTGTTCGTAATGTGAGAACCCTTGCTTATTTGACACTACACCCGGACACCGGTATAGCGGTTATTGCACATTTTTCACTGTATTCAGGCTATACAGCGCGTCGCTTCCAGGGGATGTCCTAGCACTTACACAATGATAAAAAAAATTCATGTCATGATTTTTTTTCGACGATTTTTTTTCGACAAGTTTTTACGCTTGCTGTCGAGTACCTAACGCAACCCTCCACTTTTCTTTGTCAACCAAGTCTGTAAACTAAAATTTTGTTTTTTTCTCAACTCCTTGATCAATGTTACTCTCTTCTATAACAGGGACTAATTGAGAGGGTTGCAGTTATTTTCTATGATAAAGATCACATTCCAGTCGAGCGATTTGTGTTCAAACTCGTCATCAGCCAACCATACAGCTCTACAGTTGAGGAGAACGATCTTCAGTTTGCTCTTAGGGCGTTCCTGTTGAAGTTGACAGTTTCTAAGCCCCTTACAAAATCCCTTCCTCCTGGTAGTATCCTCTTGTATTTTTCTTTTACTAACATAAAAATCCATTCTAAAGAACCAGTGATTCAAAAGCTGCTTAAATTTTTATTCCTTACAGGCAGCAGCTGGGAGATTACCGCTTACTTTCGTGCCCTTCCTGATGAAAATAATGACACCAAGGTGCAAATGTGGGTTCCAACCGACACGAAACAATGGCTGCAGCCTCCTTGCATTATACCAATAAAGTCCATGAGCAGTGAGCCTCTAAAAGTGCAGCTCTATATAGAACACCCCAGCCCAACCGAACTGAAGGATCAAAATAGATAAAAATGGCAGTGCATGCGGATGAGATCAAGGAAAGGCAAAGCTTCCTAATGTTGTAGGCGCCTTCTAACTTCCCTTTATAGTCGCTTTTCACTAGATGCATCAAAGAGTATCCATTTAGCAGTTTTTCTGTTGTTTATATGGAGGTTTTGTTTAATTTGACAAGCATAAGGTAACTCTTACTATGCTTATTACGAGTCTTCTAAATTGCATTATTTCTCTCAAGATTTAATGTATTATCTGGTAAAGCTGATCCTTTCAAATGTTATGATTTGGGTGCCTTGTATCTATATAGTAGAAAAGTAATTTGTTTACATGCATTCGTTTTCACCGTTAATAAATAAACACTTAACTATTGCAAGAAATGGTTGAAATTTTTGCTACACGTTTGGCACTATCTAAATCCTGGAAGTGCCTTTCTTGAATGAACTGCAGTTATTATATAAGGGAGTTGAAATAGCACTGAAGAAAGAGGAAGGTTGAGTTCATATATGTCCCCATTTATTAGCCAGAATCGAATGAATTTCAGAAGCTTACCGATAATTTTTTGTTTGTAGCGAAATGATAGATCTAGGAGTGTATGGATCATATACATATACATATACATAGACATATACACATACACATACATACACATACAGACACATACACATACAGACACATACACATACATACACATACACATACACACACATACACACACATACACA